TTTCACATGTATAAGATGATTGAACATACCATGGCTTGAGTCAGATGTACCTTAATCCTCAAAGTAATTTTTTTTTTTTTTTTTTCTGGCAGCAGCAGACTTGCTCAATGCAATACACCATTCTAATTCTTAGATGTGGCTTTTGTGCACATTGATTGTGTATTCCAGTAAAATGAAATCTTTCACTATCTCAATATTTCCTGTATTTATGGTGATGTTGCTTATTAGTCCAGTGTTGAGTAGACTTGTTTTCTTTATGTTGAAGTGTAATCCATAGTGAAGAATGTACTATTTGACCTTCATCATTAAGTAGGTCAAGTCCTCTTCATTTTCAGCATGCAAGGTTGTATTATCTGCATATTATAAGTTGTTAATGAACCTTCCTCCAATCTTGATGCCATGTTCCTCTTCATAAGGTTATTTCTCAGATTATTTTCTCAGCATACAGATTGAATAAATATAGTGAAATAGCACAACCCTGACACACACCTTTCCTGATTTTAAACCAAGCAGTATCCCCTTGTCCTGTCTGAAGGCCTGCCTTGTTCTCTATGTACAAGTTCCACATGAGGAAAACTAAGTAGTATAGAATTTCCATTCTTAAAAATGTTATTCATAATTTCTTATGTTACACGCAGTTGAATGCTTTTACGTAGTCAATAAAACACAGATAAGCATAATTCTGATATTCTCTGCTTTTAGCCAAGAATTATCTGACACCAGCAATGTTATCCCTAATTCCATATCCTCTCTTAATTGTGCTTCAACTTTTGGCAGTTCTTAGTAGATTTACTTCAGAAAACATTTTTTAAAATGATCTTCAGCAGACTCTTACTTGTGTGTTATACTAATGATATTATGTATTCCTTTCATCTTCTTTTGATGCTTTCTGCATCATTCAATATTTTGCTCATTTGTTGTTGCTGTTGCTAAGTGTTGTCACGTCGGTTCTGACTCATAGCAAACCTGTATAGGGTTTCTGAGGAGGGACTCGTGAGCTTGAACTGCTGACCTTGTGGTGAAAACTGACTTTGCAGTACTGCGCATTAATCCACAGCGCCACACCAGGACTCTTATTTGACCACAGAATCCTTCAATATTAAAAATCGAGGCTTGAATCTTTTCCTCAGTTCTTTCAGTTTGAGAAATGTTGAGCATGTTCTTTGTTTTTGGTTTTCTAACTCCAGGTCTTTGCACATTTCATTAATAAATTTGACTTGTGTTCTGTAGCTGCACTTAGAAATTTTCTGTTCAGCTCTTTGATTTCCTCATTTCTTCCATTCACAGGTGGACTGTTCAAGGTTGTATTTTGGATCTAGTGGACTTGTTTAATTCTCTTCAGCTTCAGTCTGTTCTTGCATATGAACAAGATAGTCTGTTCCATAGTCGGACCCTGGCCATGCTTTGGCTAATAATTTTGAGTATTTTCTCCAACTCTTCCCACAGATGTAGTGCATTTGATTCTTTGCATTACATCTGGTGTGGTTCCTGTGCATAATCGCCTCTAGGTTGTTTAAAAAAAGTATTTGCAATGAATTAGTTATTGGTCTTACAAAATTCTATCTTGCAATCTCCAGCAGCATTTCTATAATCAAGGTCTTATTTTCTACTGACTTTTCCTCTTTGTTTTCAACCTTTACATAGCAATTACCAGTAATCATCAAAATATCTTGATTGTTATTTAATCAATTTCAGACTGAAGAAGTTGGTAGAATTCTTCAATTTCATTGTCACTATCTTTAGTAGTTGGTGCATAAATTAGAATAATAGTGGTATTTACTGGTCTTCCTTATAGACATATGCATATGATCCTATTACTTGTATGTTTGCTCTAGAGGATCAATTTAATTTTCCAATAAATTAAAAAAAAAAAAAATCTAGCTACCTGACCACCTATGCTTCATAACTACCATTACCTTATAAAAATTAAAACAATCCTTTAAAGCCAAAGTGCAAGTTTGAATATGTTGTTGTTGCTGCTAAGTGCCATTGAGTTGATTCCAACTCATACCAACCCTGTATTGAGTTTTTGAGGAACAGTTAGTGGGTTTGCATTGCCAACCTATGGTTCACAGTCCAGTGCTGATCCTACAGTGCCACACCAGAAGCCCTCTGCATATGTTGCACCAATAAGTGATAGATATGACACCTTGAACACTAGTGACTGAAAACTAGATGAATTGTGGGATGACATCAAGGACTTCATACATGAAGAAAGAAAAAGATCATAAAAAAGACAGGAAAGAAAGAGAAAAACAAAATGCATGTGAGAAGAAATTCTAAAACTTGCTCTTTAACATTCAAGTATGGTGATGGTGGTGGTGTACAATGGAGTCAGTTCTAAATCATAGTGACCCTGCACAGGGTTTCCCAGGCTGTAAATCCTTAGGGGAGCTGAACGCCTCATCTTTCTCCTGTGGAACTGCTGGTAGTTTTGAAGTGCTGACCGTGAGGTTAGCAGCCCAACTCAAGTATAATAGTTACAGCAAATGTGAAAAATTATGAAAACAGCTGAACAGAAGAAGCGTTCAAAGGGCGCCTCAAGAAGACAAAATAAAGCATTATAATGAATGAAATAAGCCACTAGGGTGTTTATCTCTTCCACCAGACCACAATTCAATCTCTAATAGTTAATCAATTGCCATTTATGTGTTTCTATCAGATTGGCAGTATGTATTCTATGTATTTGCCTGACTCTCCAGTTTTCTGGGTACAGTAGTTGTTTACCTTATGACCTCATTTACACTCTGGATCTAAAGAAGACCTGTTGATTTTCAGTCTGTCTAGTTTTTTCTTGGTGTGACGATGGAAGGAATAACTTGCTAAACTTTTTCCATGCCATATTGGAAACTAAAGTTATCTTTTTCTTCTGATAGATTTTAAGACTGTTTATCTTTGTAACTTTGTAGGTGCACCATGTCCAGCTTTCATATATGAATTAGGTGATTAAAAATGCCATAGCTTGGGCTAGGTACACCTTAGTTCTTGAAGTGATAGCTTTACTTTGTAATATTTTAAAGAGCTGTTTTGCAGCAGAGTTGACCAGTGTGGTACATTGTTTGATTTCTTGGTTGCTCCTTTCATTGGCATGGATTCATGTAAAATTAGATCCTTGATAACTTACATATCTCCTCTATTTAACATGACGTTGCTTATTGGTCCATTTGTGAGGAGTTTTGCTTCCTTTATAATCCCTACTGAAGGCTATAATCTTTGATCTTCAGCAATAAATAAGGATACTGAATAAGGCAGACAGAAGCATAACTGACTGATGCCTCTGAATTCTGCTGTTGGCAGAGTACTGAATGGAATGT